TGACGCAGCTACCCATCTGAACTACTTATTGTCTGAGTGTTTATTAAACTTATCTCATACTGAATGCTGAATTACATTTGTTACAGATTTGAGTGATTTAAGAAGTTCAATTCTGCTATACTCCCAAAATTGATCAAATTGCCTATTAGAGTCTATTGTGTCTGCAATGTTCGAAATTGACAATAGAAGGCAATTCAGTAAATTTGGTGGGGATTAACTGAAATACCACAGTATTTTACTTTAATTTCAAACAGACCATAGAACCATATTTTTCAGGCACCAGACCTATTTCTTATTCTACATGTGCTAAATTTCCAAACAGATAGCGTTACATAATAGAAAAATAGCAGAGGTGCATGCTTTGATTTTTCCTCTCAAAGATTCTTAGTCCTCCAGGAAACCGTTAATACATTTGACTCACATACTATTGTGACCTTAGGAGGTCTGCCAAATGGAAGCCAGATGCACTCTCAATGGGATACAGTAATGATAACTCCAGGTTCCAAAGGTGGGACTGAAATTTGAGACTGCCTAGGAAGTAGGGAGTGAACCAGTGCATCTGCTTTATCAGGGTCTTAAACGCTGTTATAACAATAAATCCAGGCGGTTGCAGCAACGCAAGAGATTAAACACAAACTCAACATCACGTGTATGAAGCACTTTGATGGATCTCAAAGGAGTTCACTAATCTACTCATGACCAAATGGGATGGAATGGCCAAATCATCTAAACAGTCTTAGCTTTTTTATGCAATTCAGTGCATACATGAATACTATGATTCCTTCACTAAACTCTGAATTTCCTTTAAAACTGTTTTTTGATTTCTGTTGTTAACAAGTTCAGCTGTACTATAATCTATATTTCACAAACAGCTCTTCACTTATAGTACAAGACCAATACTCATTTATATCAACTTTAAGTGGTACATAATTGTTGCTTTCAAGTAATTATTTCTGTGGAAAATTGTTTCCGTTTTGTTTTTTGAGAAGTGACTTATGAAACAAAGGACAGAGCCAGAATCTCAAAGTGATAAAAACTAATAAGAATGTAGGAATCAAAGAAAGAGAAAACCACCCACTATAAAGTATGCTCATTCAGAAGGGTTCCAATTCGAAATACAAAGATCGTGAAGGCAATGCATCACTGTATACTGTATGTGTACAGCTCTACAGTACTGTAAATAGAGTGTTGGGACAACATTAATATCCAACAAATACAGAAAGGGCTGCCAAACAAGATAATTTTTTTTCAGATGCTCATCGTAAAACACTGAAGTAGTTTTGGGGTTTTACTGCCGTACACTGTGCCTGCATAGGCAGGCTTCGAAAGTCCAAGAAACCTCATGAACATCTTCTACCCTGTGTGCGTGTTAAAGAGTCCATATTTAGAATTAGCCAAGCCTTTTTCTTGTGGTTCATTGACGCAGCTCCCCACCTTAAGACAAAATCCCATGCTTGTCCATAGCACTCTAAATATCTGTTTCTGGCCACGTAGCATCACTGATGACAAAACACCTCAAATATTCGGAATTCTTTACAAAACTTACTCTTTTTTTGGCCTTCCTTACTTCCAGCGCCTCTCAGACCAGGGCGACAGGTGAGAGTGCCCTTGGGGTTAGGTGTTGTCCTTCAGATTCTCAGCCAAGTGGCTTGTCAACAATGGCAAGTGACTGACGAGGCCACTCACACCCAAAAAGTGGGTTAAAAAAATGTTTTCACATTTGTTCACGAAAAAATTTGGGAAAAACCACAAATCTTGCAGAATAGGGATTTTTTTTGTGTGTGTTAAAATGGCACATTGGATTCTCCCATGTTGTGTAGAAGGAGAAAATGAATAGAAGTACAAAAAATATCAAACACAACTTTAAAAACCACTAATATCACAATAAATAATGAAAAGAAAAAAAAACTAAATCCCTTAGATCCCTTAGAAATGATTTGAGTGTTATAATTTATACTGTCATAAGAAAGGTTCTTTTACATCTTAACTATATGACAATGATACATCATAAGCTTTATAATATTAATGTATTTAAAACTGTGTTCCAAATTTCATATGTTTAATGCTTGTAAAATAAACAGCATGAAACACACAAGAGCTGATGACTAAAACAGTGGACAGTATGGGGGATGCATTTAGACAGGTGGACGAATGTATTAAGGCACATTTATGTTCACCTGTGTACATAATGTACAGAACACCTGGGACACTGCTGTCATTAAACATCCTCCAGTTTATATTGTTGTCCGTGCTTCTAGTAAAAACATTTGAAATAGATATATTAAAGATAAGCCCGATACAAGCCGGCCCTAACCTAAAAGATTAAAATAAAACGAAACCAAATATATTTATTGAACAGATTGAAAAGAACTGTTTCCATGTGAGGAAACATACCATTGTATCTTAGAAGAATGCAGATAGAAGCACTCAGCGGAAAACCTATTAGAGAGGGATATCACGCAGTGCAAACATTTAGCACCACTGCTTGCAAAGAAAACTTTCCAAAAGCTGAACAAACTGCAAATCTCATGTAAAGAATGGGAGGAGGAACAGTCAGGGAGTGGGAGGCAAATCCTCTATGTATTGAGAAGTCATTTTCAAAGCAAATATTTAATTGATGTGACAACAGAAATATTATCTGCCAGATGCAGACCCTTCCTTCTTAGTGAAAGTGCACTTAGTGAAAATGTTTATAGGGAGAGGTTTTTTTTTTATTTCTCCTATAAGTAATGCCCCTAATATATAATCAGATTATGTTGGATTTTATAATACAATTACTGTATGTAATACATATTTATTGTGTAATTTTAAAATAATAACAACAACAAAGAATTGGATACATGCACTGCTGAAGGCATTGAAAGTGATATCCCTTGGATCGGGCTGGTAAGCGTTCACAGTGGCAGGGTGTTTCCCCTGAGTGTGCTTGTTGTGTTACGTGAGACAAGTGTTGCTCTCTGAAAGGCAGGTGTGGTCAAGATGAGCACTGCAGCTCTCAGCATTTACTGCTCTACAGGTGGCTGTACTGCTAGTGCTGAATTTGATCAGCGGGGGCATGGTGCCATTCTTCAGCTCAGAAGAGTACCCTACTAATTTCTAACTTGTTTATGACACAAAAGCAAATGCTAAAGGCCTGTTCTGTGAAAAGATTACATTCATTAAGGTCAGAATGTGGAATCATTAAATGTTTACTTCTAGCCTTCAGAATAATAATAATAATAGCTTACACTTATATAGCACTTTTCTGGACACTCCACTCAAAGCGCTTTACAGGTAATGGGGACTCCCCTCCACCACCACCAATGTGCAGCATCCACCTGGATGATTCGACGGCAGCCATAGTGTGCCAGAACACTCACCACACACCAGCTATCAGTGGGGAGGAGAGCAGAGTAATAAGCTAATTCATAGAGGGGGATTGTTAGGAAGCCATGATTGATAAAGGCCGATGGGAAATTTGGCCAGGACACCGGGGTTACACCCCTACTCTTTTCGAGAAACGCCCTGGGATTTTTAATGACCACAGAGTCAGGACCTCGGTTTTACGTCTCATCCGAAGGACGACGCCTGTTTACAGTATAGTGTCCCCGTCACTATACTGGGGCATTAGGACCCACATGAGCCGCAGGGTGAGCACCCCCTGCTGGCCCCACTAACACCTCTTCCAGCAGCAACCTTAGTTTTTCCCAGGAGGTCTCCCATCCAGGTACTAACCAGTCTCACACCTGCTGAGCTTCAGTGGGTTGCCAGATGTGAGTTGCAGGGTGATATAGCTGCTGGCACAGCAGAATAATTTATAATTTCAGAGAAAAACTCTAAAATCTGTGTAAAATTGCTGCCACCCCATCCCTCAACTTCAGTATGCATCCTGATAACATAAAAAAAAGCCAGGAACCTTCACTAGGTATACTTGAGAGAACTTCACTTTAACATTACTAGTGCAAAGTTTATGGGATTTCTTAGGAAACAAGGGGGAAATCTTTTATACATAAATATTAGTATAAGTCTTTAAGTCTATACTGTATATCACAACAAAATAAATCTGCCATATATATGTAAATTATTCAATGAAAGTACACTAGGAAAAGATACTTAGTCATTATGTGAAGCAATAAAAGTAATTTACTCTGCAAAGAACAGCAAATCTGAAATTAGTCTTGGGAGCACCTATGCAGTTTTAGAATTGTATGTTTCTCAGAAAGCTGCAGGAAAAAAAAAGCTTAAAAGCCTTAAAAGGATTGCTACTAAAAGATTCTAATTAAATTCTCTAACTTAATAAGATCTGAAAAAAAATTTATCGCAAGAACGGAAATTGCAGACAAATATTTCCTTGGCAAACAGAAGGATAGGAAATGCTTATAACCTTTCTTCTACCTAGTATAAAAATATAACCTTTAGTGGACCAGTGATACTGTAAATGCTTCGGCATTTAAAAATGTTGAGTTTTCAAATGCTGGTCACCATCCCTCAGTAGTGATTTAAAGACATTGTTTAGGTTAATACAGTATCCTTTCCTCCCTTGGGTTGATAATAATTTTCTCCAACCTGTGCTTCTCCTTCTGTGGAAACGTAAAAGATGTGACCTTACATACTGTATCACCCCGTTTAATGCATTAGTTTATATATCTGTGTACAGGATAGATTTGTTGTGATTTTTTTATCCTGGATATAGGCTGAAGATGGAAATTAGTGTTTCATTTGAAGTGACTCAAAGTGACCAGTGACTTATTGTTAGTTGTCTCACACTAAGGCATGACTTTTATAAGAAGTCTGCACTTGAATGAGCAATGCAAAAGAAGCAAACTTCTGACATTCAATAAAGACTCTGAATTTTGTTACATTAGCAAGAAGGAGAAAACAAGTGGCTCTCTTCCTTCACTTCCCTCTCTGTGATGTTTTGGAGACAGCTAGGCAGGCACTAGGACCCACAGGTTTTGTCTGCTAAGAGGAAAGATACTGGGAGCTTTCTGACTAAGTTTCAGTACAATCAATTTCTCAAAGAGTGTAGGAGTTAGGCTAGTGTAAATGGCAGAACCTGGCTTTTAAATCTAAAGAAGAGGAACTTGGAGTGACTTTTGGGAATAATCCTGTGGACTAGTGTGCAAGGTGGAATTAAGCTTTTGTGGACTTTACACTTGGCCAGGGAAAGAACAGTCTGAGGTAGGAAACTTTTTTTTCTGCTGTTTTCTCATTCTTCTGTCGCGTGCTTAGAAGTCTGGTGAAAGAGACAGTTGTGTTGATACTGTACCTGTCGGAAAGGAAAGTATAGATTATGTCATCACAGAACGTCTGTAGCTGTACTGTAGTACTGTAATTACATAAAAAGCAAGGCATATGAAGTAAAGCAAATAATATTTTTTTTTTGCAGTCCACTTAAAAACAAAAGTTCAGCAGCCCCTCCAGGGAATTATTTGTCTGTCAGTCATATTTAATGCCAAACCCCCCTAAAGACAGAAGTGAACATGTTCCTTTTCAGATGTTTATTTGTCCCAACTTGCCAGGTCCTAAATGAATAGTTGCAGTTTACAGCTGCCCAATTTCCTCTCTAAGAGCCACAGTACCTACCTGAGCTGCATGGACAAGTCTTCAGTGGGAAATAGCCACTCATTGATACCCTGTGGGATAGCCCCCCTGGTTTAAAGTCATCAGGTTACAGCAATCATCATTGACTTTTTTCATTCTTTCTTTTGAAGATAATATATACACACCTCATGTTACACAACTAGTAAAACAACTTAAATGTAAACCACAGTTAAATGATGGCTTTTTCAATGTTGCATGGACTTGTAAAACACTAAATCTATTACTATTATTATATATAATAATTTGGTGTGTGTTACTAAGAAATAATAAAAGTATTAGCTCGGACAGAAATAAGAAAGAATTTCACAAATGTACAGGCATAGAAAGCACTAGAAAGAAGCTAGATTGATTGCAACTTCAGGAAAAGAATCCATAAGTGAAACCAACTGTAACCTTAGTGAATTTAAAATAAACCAAATTCCTGCTGTACTGAAGATTTTCAAGGAATGAACTACAAAAACTCAAATGTTTATAAAAACTCAGATGTTAAAAAAGAAAACCTTCAGAAATAATCTATTTTATTGTACAGTCATTATTATAAACATGAAGCATTGTAGCATTGCTAGTAAATATACTTAAAGGAAAAAAGAGCAAGAATCAACAGCACTTGTTGCTTTCTTACTGCCTCTCAGTGTGTTTACTTTATACAGTATACACTTTGAATAGTACATACGGTATTACAGAGCATAAAAGCCTTTAATACTCCATTTGTATATACTGTATTACATATTATATACTCTTATACGAATCTAAATGAAGAAGGTACATTAAAGTAGAAATTAATTCAGTGTTCTTAAAAAAAAATGTTTTACAAATGGATTTAGAGAAAAGTTCTTTTTTTCTCAGGCTGCATTTAAACAACATACAGATAACTGTTTAATTCTTCAGTAATGTTATTCTTCAGTGAACAAGAAACACAGCAGTTTTCTTCCCCGTACATGTGCACACAGTTATTTGTGAGTGAGGTGTAATTTCCCTTTCAATTAAATACTTGTGACGCACACATTTACTCACTCCACAAACATTCCGTAAGTATTCATACAGTATAAAGCCACTTACCAGCATTAATGAGCTCTCTAAAAGCACAGAAAAAGTGTGGCAAAGGTACTTGCCCTTTTAATCTGTGTTTTGTTAAGCACCTTCTTATTTTTCTATGGCTTTTCTGTCTTCATTGATCAAAGGGCAGCCAAGGTGTTATTGAAGCTGATTTTTACTAATGACTTAACAGTTGACATAGGCTGCACACTCTTTGAAAAGATATGGTTGCAGAACACCTACTCTTCGATTGTTGGGATTGATCTTTGTTTTTGTACGTCTTTCCTCCACAAACCATTTTAGAGATAGGGTCAAAAGCCAAACCCTGTTGACAGATACCTCTGCTTGCCAGGGGAAAGGACTGGGGTCTTGGCTGCAGGCAGCTTAAATAAACGTTCCCCTTTTTTCTGCAGTCACAGCCTCAAGGCTTCCTCCGGCTGATCCCTGGATTAGCGTTTGAAAAGCATAAAGCACATAAAAGTTGCTAGTTGAGCATGGAGGTGTTGTAGTGTGAAAAAGAAAAAGGGTGAAAAACCTCAAACCGAGCTCAATGGACAAGTATTCAAGTCTTCTTTTCGTACAGATGGAAAATAACTGTATAAACATCATACAGTTATGGCAGATGTACTAAATAACAGGACTGATTTGTTTTCTTTACAGAGCTATAATTCTGTCATACATTTAATGTAATGTATATCTAAATAAAAATAATTAGAACAAAATGTCTTTGCTTTACCACATTTTTCAAATAATTTACTTTACAGCAATTCCCTGTATTAATTTTAAATACATGCATCATGATTAGCCTTTTTTTTTAGGATGCATATGAGAGGTTTTTTTTTTACTTTCTCCCTGATTTAATTGTTATTGGCTTTAATTTTTTAGAAAATCAATTCAACTTTGTCCCAAAGATACCTAAGGTGTAATCTTCCAGTGTGTCCTGGACATTGGTCCCAGACTCCCATAATCATCTTGCTCTAAAATCCCACTAATCTTATTTTCCACTTGTGTCCCCAAGTCCTCTTGTTGGTGGCCTTGAAGGTGGTTCCCAAGTTGGCTTTTTGACTCTCAGGAATTTAAGTACATACAGTAAATCAACTCCTACCATGCTCTTCAGTCTAAAAAGATTCAGTTCCCTTTAGTCTGCCTTAGTAACTTCAGGCCAGGAGTAAGACTGAGTTCTACTCTTTGTGTTGCCGCTAGTGCAGCAATTTCTGTCTTTGGCTTAAGACCAAAATCAAAGACATTTTCCAAATGAAGAATAACTACAGGAACATATAATTTTATCATGGCTCCCCTTGATGTAAATTCTACACGTTTAATAATATATTCAAGCATTGTGTTGGCCCTGTTTAATTGCTCAATTTAATGTCAATTGAAATGCTTCATTGAACTTATGTGTGTTAAATCCAACTCCCCAGGTGTCCACCCAGCTCTGAATGTTTTCTGAGTCCTCTTGAGTTACTTGTGATGTAAGACTCAGCTTAGTTTTGTATCACATGTGCAGCTTTGACAAGTCTACTCACTACTCCATGTAAGAGTCTAGATCATTGTTATTGCAGCGAACATCCCTACACTCTGGTTCAGCAGGACAGAGTAGGTTGGAGAGAGGAGTCAGTTCCAACAGAAAGGGGGTTTATTGCCCTTTAGTTTACAGTGGGCGTGCTAGTCACTGGGAAAGAGAGAGAGGGGATAGAGACAGAGAGAGCGACTGCAGTCGCCTGTACCAAGGCACATGAAGAAATAGAAAGGTGAGGGGATCCCCTTCTCTGGGGTACTGCAGGAGGAAACACATGCAGTCAAGGTCAAGGATAAGGGTGCAGCAATGCAGTCAAACACTGGGAGGGGCAGCAGAACACTATAAAAAAGATAAGGAAGAGCAACAGTTCTAGGGTACCACCAGCTGATTCCTCTGGTCCCCCACTAATGACATGCTGTAGCCGTAGGGCAACTTTTCTGTACTTTTTTATTTTCCGTTTTTTAACAATATACAAATGTTAACTTGTATTTGTGCAGCCTGGTGTTTGAGAATTCATGTCTTTTCATGTGCTCGTTGCAAATGCTTTCTGAAAATCCAGATATATGTAGTGTTTTGCCACTGTTCAAAAGCTTCCCAAAAGACTTCTGAACATGTCAAGATCTGATTTTCTTGTAAGGTGCTTGGCGTTACTGTTTTAAGTTTTTTTAACCTTCTGATGAAGTCACTAAAGGTTTTTATTTTGCTCTTGTATCCATTGTTTTTATCTTGTTTGTCTTTTCTTGTGATCCAAGAAATGCATATTTCAGTGAATACTTGTGTTGTTTGGCGCTTTTATGTTATTTTAGTGAGCACATTCTACAGCCTTGGGTCAGTTATGATAGTAAATGCAAAAATATCCTTTCCTTTTCAGTGTCTTACTACTATATTTAACATGATTAACCACTGTTATCATTCAGTTTAGTTCCATGTCTAATTTATTTTATGTGGTTTATAAAGTAAATTATAACTGTAGTATTACGGTGCCTATTAGGAGCCTATTAAAGAAACCTAATGTTTAGGAAACCCGTGTTTAGTTTGTCTTCATGCACTCTTTGGAAAGCAAGATCTAAAACTGCCATTAACACGAAAAATAAACCACTGTACTTCCATGTTACAGAGTGGGCTTCAGAGGCACCTGATATTGAAATCAGGTTTTTTTCTACCGCTCTCCTGTTTGAGCCAAATAAAAAATAAGTTTACATTCAGCTGACCAAATGACATTGCTAAAAAGCAGCTTCTTGTTCATGTTCCTTTTTTTTTAACCCAAATATTCACTACTGTCTCTTCCCCTGTGTTCTTTCTTCTCTTGGTGAAACCTTAATACCATATTCTCTATCCATCTCCTGCAGCAAATCCTAAACTGCCCCTTTTCTTCAGAAGAATAGTTTGATTAAAAATGTGTTTGTCTACAAGCAAAAAAAGTCTGGACATGTATTAGAAAATGAGCACTTTTATTCTGCAATAGATTCAATTTGGAATATCACAAGAGGGAAGAAGTGGAACAGTGCTTCAAAGACTTTCACATTTGTGAAATGATTGATGGTTTACAAAACAAGTAAGGCTTATTGCAACACATTGTCATAACTTCTGGAGTAATCTGGTTTAATACAGACCCAATCCAGTTTGACCTCGCTGGTTTCACGGTTACTAAATTGGTTATGACAAATCCAAGTTAAATCTTTTACCTTTTGATTATTAGGCTTTGTGCCACCTACTGCCAAGCCCAGTATCTTTCATGCACTAAGTTTCCTTGTCAGGTGACCATGAAAAAAACTCCACTCTGTAACATTTTGCTTTTTGTTCATTTCAAAGATGTTAGTTCATTGCTGCTGTCCATCACAGTGGAAAATTAAAGACTAAAGTTTAAAAACCTGGAAGATCTTTGAAATCTGTACATGTAATCTCATTTGTCCATAGGATTTAAATACTATGGTTAAGTGGTTATTTTTAATGAGAATTATGGGATTCTTATAGTTTTTAACCCCTCACAATATACAGTTGTTCCATTTTAGCATATTACAGA